ATGCTTGAAACTTCTGGTCTATTAGGCTCCAAGCCCAATGCACCTCTCCCCACATCACAAGCTATTTTGTGAGCGTTAACAGCAGGCAAAATTTCAAATTTTGCATGGGACTTGGTCTGCTCTTGCCATGAAAAGCAGCAGCTGTTTTCCTAGACAGGGAGTCCCCTGCCATGAGCAGCTCTGAAAAGGGAATAGCCACGGGGCAAGGAAAGGAAGCTTGGTTTTCTTCTTTTTGGGTGAGCCGGCGCCACATGGGATGCGTGCCAAAGCGAACCAACCCATGGGCTCCCAGCTGTGGCGGCATGTCCCTGCTTGCAGGGCGGCAGGGAGATGCAGCCCTCCCTTGCCTGGCCCAGTTCTGCACCCCCCACTTCCCCAGCTCCAGCTCAGCTCTGCGCTTTGCCGGGAAGTTGGGGAGCACCCCTGTCCAGGTAAACACAAACACCCCCGGGTGGCACAACCCCCTGCTGGCTCAAAGGCACTGCCAACCAGTTGTAACTGTTACTTACACATTCCAATCTGTCCTTCTGTAGGATTTTACCCATAATTTAACGACCCCGTCCTAAGCTATGAGCTGTTTCTTTGTGCAGTTCTCCAGCGAACTGACCGGTTCTGCTAAACACACTCCTCTGGAGCAGCTATAAATGGTTGCACCCCGCTAGTGCACCCCTGTGAAAGGCAGACCTCCCCAATGGGTTGGACCTTCCCAGCCCTCTCCTTACGCTGCGTTTTTGTGCACAGACTCAAACCACCTTTGCTTTTGGCTCCCGTGCTAAGATGAAATTAGCCGTTGTCCACAGGCATGGTAAAAAAATTGCCTTACCTTTCAGGCTGCCTGGCCTAAACCAGCCATGAACCCTCCCTTTGAGAAGCGCTTCCGAGCAGATCTTCAGCTCCGGTGTAATTCAGCCCTGGGAGCTCATAAAAGGCATGTCTGTGCTTTTACTGGGGCACTGATTGCTTCCACATTACAATCTCCTGCACGTCGAGGTTTAGCATCTGTCGGGAGCACCCATTTTTCCTCCCGGCTGGGGCTGTTGCTAGCTTGCTGCTGCTCTTGTGGCACGGCACGGCTTTTGCAAAAGCCCTTCAACACCCGCACAACTCAAGCCCCTGCGCTAGGGACCTGCTACACCAATTGCTTGGCTGCAATTTTTCACGTCCAGCCCCTGGGCTGAGGACCACTGCTGTAACACAAGCAGCTCTTCCAGCTACTTTTGCTGCACGCAGAGCTGTTTGCCTTTCGTGTTGTGTCTTTCCCAGACTTACAGTGGCAGAGGAATGTTACAGGGGATGTCTGGTTTGGATTTGTCAGGCTAGTTTGAACAGACCGCAGCCAGACCCTCGTCCTGCCTCCCACGTTAGCTGCGAGCGCTCTGCCTTTTCCCATGCCTGCTTTCCTAGGGCTGCTCCACGTACCCCACCCCACCCCCGAAATGAGGAGGTGCAAGCAGAAGTGGTGCTTTCCACTGTCTTCTCCCCCACCGCCTGCTAAATCAAGTGTGTTACTGGCACGAGACAGGTTCTCCTCAAGGCACAAAACATTATGCTGTGTGACAGCACAAGTAAAAACCAATGCCTGTGGTGAGCTCTGGCTGGAAATGTCACCGTAGACAGCAGGACGGTGCTAGTGCCGGGTGTCTGCAGGCTGGCCCTGCTGAGCTGTCTAAACGTCGTGGCAGTGCAGGACAGAGAAGAGGCATCTTTAAGCATCACCTAAACTAAAGCAACTGCTCCAGCCCAGGCCGCACACCCACAAAGGAGCACACAGAGACAGTGGTGGGAGGGGGAGCCTGAATAATGCCCTGCCAGGCTACTTCCAGGCCCTTGCACAAGCCTAGAGCTTCACAGGGGCACAACAGAGGCAGACCTAAACCCAACTGAAGGACTCCTCAGGAACGAACACCCCATCTGGCTGTTCTGGTTTCGGCTGGGACAGAGTTAATTTTCTCCCTGGTAGCTGGCATAGTGCTGCGTTTTGGATTTAGTACCAGAAGAATGTTGATAACTCACTGATGCTTTAGTTGCTGCTGAGCAGTGTTTACACTAAGTCAAGGACTTCTCAGCTTCCCCTGCTCTGCCAGGTGCACGAGAAGCTGGGAGGGGGCACAGACAGGACAGCTGACCCCAACTGGCCCAGTGTTCCCGCACATATGACATCATGCTCGGCATATAAGCTGGGGGAAGAAGAAGGAAGGGGGGGATGTTCAGAGTGATGGCATTTGTCTTCCCAAGTCACCATTACACGTGATGGGGCCCTGCTTTCCTGGAGATGGCTGAAACCCTGCCTACCAGTGGGAAGCAGTGAATAAATCCCTAGTTTTGCTTCACTTGCATGCACGGCTTTTGCTTTACCTGTTAAACTGTCTTTATCTCAACCCCCAGAAAAAGTGAGTTTTGTCACATTTACTCTTCTGATTCTCTCCCCCATCCCACTGTGGCAGGAGTGAGCGAGTGGCTGCGTGGGGCTGAGTTGGCTGGCCCCTTTCAGGGCTGTGTTTGCAGAGCCATCAGCCCCCTCTGTCCAGGAGCAAAACCAATCACGGTGAGTCTTTGTCTTGGGGGGGAATCTCATCAATGTTTACAAACACCTGAAGGGAGGGTGCAAAGAGGACAGAGCCAGGCTCTCTTCAGTGGTGCCCAGCAACAGGACCAGAGGTGATAGGTACAGCCTGAAGCACAGGCGGTTCCCTCTGAGCATCAGAAAATACTGAAGGGGTGACAGAGCACTGGTGCACATGTTGCACAGGGTGTTTGTGGAGTCACCATCCTTGAAGATCATAAAAAACCATCTAGAGCAAGCCCGGGGCAGGCTGCTCTAGGTGGTCCTGCTTGAGCCGGGGGATTGGACCAAGGGACCTCCAAAGGTCCCACCAACCTCAGCCATGCTGCAAATCTGCATGTTGCCCAGCTCTCCAGGTCACCTTTTGGGGTAAGGGGGATGGATTGCTGTCTAGGGGTATGGGATACATCAGGGGATGCAGGGGAAGAACACTTTGGCATTGCACAGGACTTACTATGGGATGTTCAGGGGAGGAGTCAAAGGTAGGAAAAGGGAGGGATTTAGGCGATTTGGGGAACAAGTGTAGGGATAAAGGGGGCTGGTTACGTGTAAATAGTTCGCTACTCTGCATGCTTCTCTAGCCATGCCCTGCAGCTGATAAGCACAATCATCTGTCCTGTGTCCTTATTAAATTCCTTTCTAACTTTTCTGGGTGAGGGCTCTGTATTCCATGTCCCTGTGCACATATGGGGATGCGAGGGCAGCAACTGGAGTCAGACTGGGGGTTGGAGGAGCCACATGTGTATGGTACAGCAACTGACATGGGCAGGGGCAGCCTCTAGTGAAGATCAAGGTGGATGAGCTGGAGAGCAGGTGAAGTGGCACAGGAGAAAAGGGGTGTGGGGCTCTCTAAGGGCCAGCTCAGGGTGTCAGAGCACCTGGAAGTCTCTAGGACAAGGCTATTGCACCATGGGAGTCCTGGCCAGTTGCGAGTCTGTGAGCGATACAGTCTGTACTGGTAACTGCAGTGGTGCTGCAGCCTCAGGGGCTCACATCTCCAGGTGCCAGCAACTGGGAGAATGGCATCCAGGGACCAGCAGTTACTGGGCAGATTGAGTGTCTGAGCCCAGCAGCTCAGAGGGAGGGATCCATTGTGGGTACACACGTGCATACAGGCCATTGGTGCTATGTTTGCCTTAAGTGCTGTGTGTCTGTCTGCAATCTGTGTGGCCAAACACATATGCATACAGTGCATATGTGTGTTCTGTGCCTACTGGGAATACATCTTTGGCCTCGCTAGTGGTTGGACCTGGCAGGATGGAGCTGGAGCAGTCTCATCTCTCTTCAGCTGTCAGATCTGGCGCAATACACTTTCCTCTAAGACTGCCCTTCCTGCTGGAGCTTTTGTGTAGTTCGCAGGATGCTTATGCTGACACAAGAGTGCTTTGTCAGCGATGTGAGAAGGATACAAAGGAGTGTTTTTGAAAAATTTTACCCTACACCCTCAGTTTCAGAAACCTTTACACAAACTACAGAAACCAAATCAAAGCAGCAAGTTGCAAATGTTTCCTCTTCAGACATGTGAGCAGCCTACTTTTCATTAATTCACCTTTTCTTTGTGCAAAAGCAGGGCACTGCACTCCCTCATCTCCCCCAGATGTTGAAGGACTGAAGGGAGCTGATTCTTGGTCAATGTTCTTGAATTACTATCAGCCACTAGCATGCTCCGCGCTGGAGCATTCACCACTCCTCCCCACTCCCTCCACCTCCTTCAACTCTGGAAATGCCTTTATGGTATGGCCTCCAAGAACAAGGTGATGGTTTCTGACCTGCGGGAGCATGTCTGCAAAAGCAGACCTACTCTATGAGCAGCAAAGCCAGCCCAGGGCAGGCAGGTGAGCTTCCATCCCGTACTTCAGGAGGGAACAGGTAAAGGGACGTGCTCACAGATACTGGCAGGTCTCAGGGAGAAGCTGTTTGACCTCTCTATGCAAGGTACCAGCCACTCAGCTTATCCAAAATGGCTGCAGTTCGGTAGCTGGATCAGGAGCAGACTTGTGGAGTCCTGAATCAGGCACTTTACTTCCCCCTCCCCGGCCTGCTTTCAAAAAGGAGTCCAAGCTCTCCTGAATATCAAAAAGCAACAAGCTTCTCCAGAGGCTGTTCTGACTTCTATCTTGCTCAGATGATGAGAAGTGCTATTTCCTCCCTGTGGTTTTCAGGTTTTCCACCAGGGAAGGAGGCTTTTTGGTCCTGTAAGCAGCAGTGCCTGCAATCCGGGCCCCTCTGATGGCACTGATGTATGGCAAAAGGGGAGGCTCCCGCACCACCAACGCAGTGCCCTTAGGCGTGTAGGCTCGGAGCAGCAGTTTCTCTTCCGCATGAGCCGTCACTGCCACCCAGCCTGCACAGACAAAAAAAAATACAAGACAGTCAGCGAGACGAGCAACTAGTATCAGAATGAGGGTTCTGATGCAAACTCAGTGCCTCCCATGTTGACAAAGAACCACAGCTACCCAGGTGTGATTTCTTTGAGAAACCAAGTTCAAAGGTAATATCCAGCCCTTTCCCAATAGAAGGCAGCACCTGAAGCTACATCTTACTTTCTCCAGACACAGCTCTCCCTGGGCTGAACTTGAGAGGGATGGTGGGAACACAATAATAAAGCTTTCCAGTCCATGGCCCTTTCCCTCTCACCTGGACAGCAGCCAGTGTCACAGCCATTCCTGATGCTGTGGAACTTGTATGGCAGCCAGAGCATCAAGTATTCCAATGTGCTCATCCTGTACAAGCACGGTTGTCAATCTCCATTCTTGGAGGTTGCCAAGCCTCAGCCAGTTATGGCTGCCCTGATTTTGTGTTGGTGACAGTCCTGCTCTGAGCAGGAAATAGGACTTCATCCCTTCAGAGGCCTCTCCCATCAATGTTTCTATAGGAGGCAGACCCTGCAAAGCAAAACTAATGAAGAAATATTAAATTACCTGCAGAGGAAAGCTTGATATCTGCAACTGCCTCAGTGGTACCAACTCCTTTCAGTGTAATATCCTGAGGGACAAGCGGGGGGAACTCTTTCATTCGCTCTTCCCCACCCATGGGAACCTAACATCAAAACACAGAGAAAAGATTTAACAGTCAAGAGATGCTTCAGCACTCCTACCTTAAGCTGGTGAGCAAGGCACAAGGGAGAATAAAGATACTAGACCATTGTTATCCAAGTAAGAGCTGGCTTGAATACCCTACAACTTTTTTCAACCACAATCTATTCTGAAATCCCAGTCTAAAGTTTGCCATAGAAAATATCCCCATTGCTGCCTGCACTTTAAGGCTGTTCAAGAAAAGCCAAGCATCAGAGAACAGAGCACTGCAAATCATCTTATCAGCCTGAACACTAGAAACAGAAGCTCTGCTGAAACACATCATCTCAGGTGCTCTCTCCCAACACAGCTGCAGCCACGCAGTCTGTGCAAGACTGTTCCACACGGCAGATCACCACTCTCCCACCATGGAAGTCCCAAACTCCTGATGTGCTGGTTTTCCCCATCAGCTGTGCCCCAGACAGGGCGCTTCACCAGGCAGGACAGCCGGCCTATCTGCAGCCGAGAGCCCATGAGAGCACCTCCTCTTACCTTTAGTAATTCTTGGCCAGCATGCTTCTTGTAAAGATCATCTGCCTTACTCAGGGTAGAAATGCGAACTGGCAACAGGTTAGAAGCCACGACAGAAAACCAGGCAGGCTTTTCTCCCTGAAATAAACAGCAAGAGGAGGATGTTTCCTATGATGACAGAAAAGCAGCCCTGAATTGCCCTCTCTTGCTATGTTTCTTTCCTGCATGCTGAAAATCCGTTTGACTGATGTCCCCCACCATGTCCAAGGAGGGGTCCTTGCCTCTGTCACTGCAGAGCAAGCAGAGTTTATGTAAACAGAGGAGCTGAGCTTCCAGAAGAAAAGCACCCATAGCTTCACCATCCTGCCTCAAAGCAGCCCCAATACCATATCCCCTGCCATCACATCCGCTGAGCTCAGGCAAATCATCCAAGACAGATCTTTGCTCAGGTTTAATTCCCAAGAACAAACTCGGTGTGGTTATTTAGCATCAGAGGTGACTGACTTCTCCTGCCTGGTGCTTCTTCTCCTATCACTTTATATTTCTAACCGGCATCTCTCATCGAACCATATCTGGTTCCAAGCAGCTCTCAAGCCATGCAAAGACTGAATGTGGAGCAGTTTCAGCAGGCACTCTCATAACTTTTGTACTTGAAGCAAACAAGGTTACAGAGGGGAAAGATCTCCACAAATGCTGCTAGCAGCCTGAAATACGGAAACCCAAGTGCAGCAATTCCTCCAGGTTCTTCACAGATATAAGCTGAGGCAGGGGCTCCTCTGTCATGGTCTGAGCACAACTGTCTTCCTTCAAGGTCTCTGGAAGCTGTAGATATGCAAGACTGATATAGCAATGGGCTGAGACAGACACTGAGAATCTCTGGGCCCCTAAACGGGCACAGCTGAGCTTGCCAGGAGCACTGTTACATGGAGAACAGGCTCACAGCATGAAGCCTAACTGCCAGCCCTGCTGCACTGGCTATGTCTCTGAGCCTGATCCTCTCTCATCAGGAGGTGGTGTGACACTTCTTTACCCTGACCTCAGGTTCCTCAAGCTGCCAACACCAGCCACATTTTCCACAACTCCCAAGAACAAAAAAAAAAATCACCCCTCGTGACAGAACAACCCCTTGGGCAGCCCAGTGGCTCGACTACCTGCCCCATCCTCTTCATCATGTGAGAGGCTTTGCACGTGCTCACAGGCTGGCCTGATCTCACAGCATTTCTGCAGAGCATGTTTACTGCCAGCAAGGTGTCAAGACCTCTGTTGCTGTCCTACTTTGTCAGGGATGCAAATCCAGGTGCTTTCTCAAGTCCCTGACAGCGCCCAACCAACATGCCTAGCTCTTTTCTGAGAGCTTTGCCCAAGACAGTATGGATAAAGGCAGTTATTTTTCCGCTGGGCTGCTCTACTCACAAACAGCATTTTTTCTGAGTGAGGCATTACTCCTCTGTACTGCCAAGCTGTTTCTTGGGCTGGGGCTCTGGATTCTCACCTTAATATGATGGAGCTTTCCTGCCACACTGGTACACTATTACTTACAGAATCCTCTTCCCTTCACCTTTCTAGTTGTCTTTCAACAAGTCAAGAGCGTCCGCACCAAAGTACCAGTTAAACATTTCTATAGCCATCTTGGAAAGCTGACTGAAACAAAGGACTAGTCATACACGCATGCCCTTCCCAAAATGGGGGAAACTACAGAGAAAGGCATCATCATAAGTGCTAGACCCATATCTGGAAGAAACCACCTCTTCCAGAGGCTACAACATTGGGGGTCAGCTCCACACAACTCTGTAAAGGTGTACAGCACGAGATATCTAATAAATGGAATAAATTGGTGGGACACACACAGCACCTTTTAAAAATATTTTTACAGAAACTAAAATGCATGTACATTTAACTGCTTCCTTGGGAAAATTCTTCAGAGGTCTGTGTCAGGAAAGAAAAACGCCCGTGCTTTTCTCTCTTGGCAGACAGCTTTTACGAAACACAGAAATGAGGAAAAACACCTATTTTGCCAGTTAATTCTGGCACTCTCCTTCTTCCCTCCCACCCTGACTCGTGCCTTTGTATATTATGGGAAGCACATCAAGCTGAAGGCGTTTGTCAGCATGCAAAAGCAGTTATCATTATACAATACGAAATACTGCACACTGGTAACAAGTATCAAACCTTCCAACTGCAACTCCCCATCCCAAGCCATTTTGGACTTTATGCAGTGCTTTATTAACAGATTCATCATCTCAAAAGCAGCAAAGGAAGGGTCTGGGAAAACCATCCACAAAGCTTTTTATCATCTGGTACTAGAACAAGAGATGAAGCAGCTGCTCACAAAATCCTTTCTTCCCTTACCTGTAAGTAGTCTACACGTCCCAAGGCTGCTAAAAACAAGACCATTCCTGGCTTGAGAATGAAGGTCCGTGGAACAATGGCATGTGTTGGCAAAACCAGCTTTACTTCTTTCTCTGTCAGGAGATTTAAAACCTGCAAAATAAATTGCACTGCCATAACTCATTCCAGATGTTTCAATGGGGACACTGAAATGAATATTGGTATTATACTGCTAGAGGAAAAAGATCAAGTAGAGGAGTGTGAAGAACATCTAACAGAACGGTTCAATTCCGGTCCATACAGGAAGTGAGATACAGGAGGAGGCAGGGATGTCACCCATCTCCATGGCAGTGCAGGGTCCATAGCAAAGAAAAACAGCTGCCAGAAGCCTGTTCAACCATGGATTCGGGAATCCTGGCTCTGGCTGGAACAAGCTCATGCAAGATTTACTGTGCTTTAGGCAAGTGCTGAACCAGAGACCACCTTTGGCTACGACATTTGACTTACTCTGCTTAGGTGCTGATGCAAAGTGCCGAATCAATACTAGCAGCAAAGCTAGTCTCAAATATCTCCCTGAGAGAAAAGTGCTGGATCAGACTGCGAAACAACTCAAACTGCAGGATGACCAGCCTGTCCCACAGTGTGGATTCCTACCCTGGGCACCGTAAAACTAGCTCTCCCATCTGTGAGGGCTCCCAAATGCTCCTGCTGCTTGTATTCCTCTCCTCCCTCTTCCCTTCCATCTCCTGGCTTAACCGGCTCATTTGTTTAGGTGCTAACTTGTTTCAGTAAAATGATTCACCCCAAGACTACTGAAAAGCCAGCGACTTCACCAGCAGCGCTGCAGCCACATCAGTTTGATCACTTCCTAAAGAAACACTGTTCAAACCCAGCTATGAAACAATGTGCAAGCACAGAAGTACAGGCAGCAGTGCTTTGAAGGAAACTACTAGTCCCCACATGGATGGTGTCTCTTTCCTAAACACAGGGAACTGACAGCGGAAATGCTTCCAACTGTGCCCCCCATGCATGCCACAGTCATGCAAATTCAAGTTTGTAGCAGTCTGGCCATGAGGATTAACCTCAATTCAGCATTAAAAGACCAAACTAACAAGGGTTGTGGTGCAGCCAGAACCCCGAGTGCTCTCCCTATGTTCACAAGCAGACAATCTTTAGCTTGAAAGTCAGGGCAGGCTTCAACACCGATTCTAAAAGACCAGAAGGCTTTGCCCTGTTTGCTGCAGGTCTTCTGATGTGTTTGGCAATGCTTAAACCAAAATTTGAGAGTCACCAGTAATCCTCTCCTATGCTTTCCTGAAGTTTGGCTTTGGAAGGAGTCACGAGGAAGCAGCTAAAAACAAAATTCCAAGGAGTAAGGACAAAAATGTAATTCCATCATATGCTAACAGCCACTTTCCCTCCCTCTTCTTCCAAATTAAAAAACAAAGCCCAAACCTGCTCATAACTAGAAATCTCCCCTGCCAGAATCTGCCACACAGACCACCTGCTTGTCCTCCAGTCAGATCAAACACTGACTGCAGAAACAAAACTTGAGCTGAAACAGGGTGTGTAGCTGTGTAGCTCTCCAAAGGCACAGCAAGGATAATCAAAATCAGAAACAGCAGCAAGTATTTCTGGATACAGGAAAGCCCACTTTGTTTCCCACACTTATTCAACTCCAGAAAAGGGGAAGAACATATCCAATCTCCAGTTACCAAACCAGGTCTCTAAGCTGGTAACTGTCTTTACACCAGACACTAACCAGCTATCAAAGCGCCACAGGAAAGTGGATGATGATCTGGGAAACATATCTAGGAGAAAACCAGTAGTTTTCTATTGTTCATGAAAACAGCATCTGCACTTGAGCTGTGCAGTCTCAGTACAGTTCTTGCACCTCCTTCTCTTCAGAACTTTCCTATCTCCTTGTACTTTTTCATCTTCCCCAAAAGACGACCTGCAGCTTTGTATAGGTGTCAAAGTGATCAAAAATCAACACATGACGTTTTTGGATGTGTGTACTACATCAGCACTGGCTTCAGAGCCATTGCTCTACTGAAGCATTGAGGTAGGCCTGAGGTATTGGAGCTATTAACAGGAACACTGCAGATCCTGTTAGCTTCAAGAGAACGCTTTCTCAAAAGATCTGGTTCAGTCACACAACACTGGTTATCCTCCCAAGCTCCACCTTTTTCAGTACGTTGGCAGAGCTAAAAACTGCAGACTTCTTTGGGTGATGCTGGTATAAACTTGCTTACAGCACTTTTGCTTACTTCCCTCCATTCAGATGTTAAGAAAGTCTGCTGATGGTCATACAGTTCCTTTGCAAAGATCACAGTATGCACTATCCAGAAATGCAACAGCATTAACACAATAGACCCTTCCCAAGTAAATACAAACCATATTTTAACACAGTCACCCAAACCAAAAGAATCCTAACCCTGGGACTGCAGCAGAAATACTCCTCCCCACACGCACAGCTAAGGCAGAACAGTCCTCCCAAACCGCGACCTCCCAAAACACTGCACCACAGAGTACCTACACAGTTTTCCTTTACAATCCCTGGAGTGTCAAAACACCAGCGAGCATCCTTCACTTCGTTGTATGTGAACTCTTCCCTTTCCTCACGCTTCCTGGGGGAATGTCTGGGATCCTCATCTACGCTGTACGAGAGCATGTCGGGGTCGAAGTCAACCACAGAGGCAGACTTCCGCCGTTGAAAAGTTCTTCCAACTCTGCCTGGATTAAAATGAAATGTTTCCTGGTAATTAATTTATTAACTCACCTTTCCTTCAGTTGGAAATCTGTCCCTTCCCTTGCTTAAAAGAGATGTACCTTGGTAATATAAAGGTGATAAAGATGCTACGTGGCTAGAAATTTGCATGTTCAAAAGCCAAAATGCTGAGAAATTCCTTCTACAATTCTTGCTTAGCACTCCTCAAGCCCAAAACCCTTAGCAGGGACCAGATCACAGATACACCATTATTTCCGTTTTACAGTAAAGCAGGCTGCCTTCTTTTTTCAGCACCTGTCAAACACAGAATTATTTGAAAATCAGAGCTATCTTCTGGCAAGCCCCTCTTTTGGATACATACCAAACCAACGCACAACCACTGCAGCCTGCAGCCAGAGCGTGATTATTTAAAAATGAAACTTGTTTTCTTCCTTTGGGAATGAGAGATGGCCTATATTGCAATACCACTGTAAACTACGAAGCTATCTGAACTAGGTTAGCAAACGCCTGGCTGATGGGAGGTGCACTGCACAAAGGAACCCTCTAAGATGCTACTACAACAACTGAAAGATAAGTACTTGGAAGAAATGCTGATGATGCTACATACAGGGGAGCTAGAGGTCTCACGCCCCCCATTCGGGGAACAAAAACTAGCCAAAGTAACTTGAATGCAAGTTTGGAAATTTGTTATTGCTACTACAGATAGCATGTTTTTCGTGTAATTAAATGGAAATGAGTCCTTTCAGAGTGGGAAGAAATTACTTGCCCAAAACAGCCAGATTTCTACAGCAAATTAAGGACTTAAGAGTCTTTTGTGTAATGCAGTATTTTCAGGGGGGCAGAGGGGCAACACCTTCACTCAGGCAATACTCACCCACTAAGTAACCTTGCTTTTTAAGGTGATTAAGGTACTTTTTTTCTTCACTGCTTAGCTGATCTTCTGTTTTTGTTGCCTCCTCTTTCAGCCTCTCCTGCCTTTGGAATATCCTGTCACATGTAGGATTAATAATTGGAAACTTCAACAGGTTCAGTGTTGTTCCTGGAAAAAACAGAAGGCACGTTTGGGCCTCTGGCTACCTGGCACATTTAAACTCTGAGGAATGAGGAAAAAAAAAAAATTGCTTCTTCAACTTTTGGGTGAAACCCAGTAACACAAAGTCGGAGATGGAACTACAGCTGCTCCCAGAAAGTCCTAGCCTCCCCAGCCAGAGTGGTGGAAACAGACTGATGTAATACACCTCCAGGCAGCTTGGTTTGGCCTACAATTGTTTTACAGGTCCACCTCCAGATCTCTCTCTAGACCTGAGGACACCCCTAATTGATAGGGAGATGGCAAGGCATGCAGATCGGCCCCACTGGCAGGGAAGCACGAGGGTCGGCTCTGGATTACCAGCCCCCTTGGTGCTATAAGACACATGGCACCCTCTGTGCACGCCTCCCAGCCTTGCTGCCCTGTGGAAGGTGACGATTCCAACCATGACACAGCACTGGAGCTGGCTGCCCACAATGGTGATGCTTTGGCATGGCAGGCACTCATTTGGTGTCAGGCCCCCCTGCCCCAGGGGTGGCCAACCGTAGCCTCTCAGGAGGCCCGGGGCTAGCAAGCCTCTGAGTGCCTGGCACCGCGCGTGACCCCTGCCGCAATGGGAAGCTTGGCGCCCCTGACCTGGCCAGGGGG